TGTCCATTAGAAATATAATGTGAGCCATAAATGTAAATTGTAAATATTCTGGGGCTATGTTCTGTTTAGTTGCTTAGTCCTATCCGACTCTTTGTGGCCCCCTGGACTGTAGTCCATTAGGCTCCTCTGTCCATGGACTTTCCCAGGTAAGACTTCTGGAGTAGGTTGCCATTTCCTATTAGGAGTGGGATTGCTGGATCATATGACAACTGTATTTTTAGTTTTTTAAGGAACCTCCTTACTGTTCTTCATAGGAGCTGCAATGGTTTACATTCCTACCAACATTGTAGGAGGGTTCCCTTTTTTCCACACCCCCTCCAGAATTTAATTATTTGTAGATTTTTTTGATGATGGCCATTCTGACAGGTGTGAAGTGATACCTCATTGTATCATTTCTCTAATAATTAGTGATGTTAAACATCTTTTCATAATTTTAATATTTTATATTAAATATATCCCAAATATTAACATTTGAACACGCTGTTGTTCAGTTGCTCTGTCCTACCCAACTCTTTGAGACCCCATGCACGCCAGGCTTCCCTGTCCTTTACCATCTGGAGCCTGCTCAAACTCAGGTCCACTGAGTCAGTGATGCCATCCAACCATCTCCTCTTCTCGTCCCCTTCTCCTCCCACCTTCGATCGTTCTCAGCATCAGGGTCTTTTCCAATGTGTCAGCTCTTCCCATCAGGTGGCCAAAGTATTGGAGCTTCAGCTTCAGCATCAGTCCTTACAATGAATATTTAGGATTGATTTCCTTTAGGATTGACTGGTTTAATCTCCTTTCTGTCCAAGGGACTCTCAAGAGTCTTTTCCAATGCCACAATTTGAAGGCATCGTCTTTGGCACTCAGCCTTCTTTATGGTCCAACTGTCACATTCATACATGACTACTGGAAAAACCATAGCTTTGACTAGATGGACCTTTGTTGGCAAAATAATGTCTGCTTTTTAATATGCTGTCTAGGTTGGTCATAGCTTTTCTTCCAAGGAGAAGAAATTTCATGGCTGCAGTCACCATCTGCAGTGGTTTTGAAGCCCAAGAAAATAGTCTCTGTTTCCATTGTTTCCCCATCTATTTGCCATGAAGTGACGGGACCGAATACCATGATCTTAGTTTTTTGAATGTTGAGTTTTAAGCCAGCTTTTCCACTCTCCTCTTTCACTTTCATCAACAGAGAGGCTCTTGAGTTCCTTTTCACTTTCTGCCATAAGGGTGGTGTCATCTGCATATCTGAGGTTACTGATATTTCTCCCAGCAGTCTTGATTCCTGCTTGTGTTTCATCCAGTCTGGCATTTCCCATGATATACTCTACATAGAGAGTAATCAATATAAAAATGGAGATATTTTAGTGTTTTTCCTATCCACATGCAATCTTCAAAATCACCCCCACCTCATGCATATTTCACACTTACAGCATATCTCAGTTCAGACTAGCCACAATTCAAGGGCTCCATAGCCACATCTGGCTAGAGGCTACCACACTGAACAGCAAAGTTTGAGACCTTTCTCAGTTTCTAAGTTTCTAGGTAACTCTGGATGAAACATTTCCTCCCTTGGGTCTCAGTTTCTTTGTATTTTAAATGAAGAGGCTGGACGCTGCTTCCTGTTCCAGCACTGACCTTCGGTGATTTTCATATTTAGCCAAGCCTTTCCTCCTCTGATCTCTCTCCCTCTTATTTCACCATTTCTTTTCCCTTCAAATCCTAAAAGATGATGCTGTTAAAGTGCTGCACTCAATATGCCAGCAAATTTGGAAAACTCAGCAGTGGTCACAGGACTGGAAAACGTCAGTTTTCATTCCAATCCCAAAGAAAGGCAATGCCAAACAGTGTTCAAACTGCCTCACAATTGCACTCATCTCACACCCTAGCAAAGTAATGCTCAAAATTCTCCAAGCGAGGCTTCAACAGGCTTCTACGTGAACCGAGAACTTCCAGATGTTCAAGCTGGATTTAGAAAAGGCAGAGGTACCGAAGATCAAACTGCCAACATCCGCTGGATCATCAAAAAAGCAAGAGCATTCCAAAAAAACACCTACTTCTGCTTTATTGACTACACCAAAGCCTTTGACTGTGTGGATCACAACAAACTGTGGAAAATTCCTAAAGAAATAGGAATACCAGGCCACCTTACCTACCTCTTGAGAAATCTGTATGCAGGTCAAGAAGCAACAGTTAGAACTGGACATGGAACAACAGACTGGTTCCAAACTGGGAAAAGAGTACTTCAAGGCTGTATGTTGTCACCCTACTTGTTTAACTTATATGCAGTGTACATCATGTGAAATGCTGGACTGGATGAAGCACAAGTGGAAAGGAACTAAAGAGCCTCTCTCTTGATGAAAGTGAAAGAGTGAAAAAGTGGCTTAAAACTCAACATTCAAAAAACTAAGATCATGGCATTTGGTCCCATCACTTCATGGCAAATAGATGGGGAAACAATGGAAACAGTAAGAGACTTTATTTTCTTGGCCTCCAAAATCAGTGCAGATGGTGGCTGCAGCCATGAAATTTCTTCTCCTTAGAAGATAAGCTATGACCAACCTAGACAACATATTAAAAAGCAAAGACATTACTTTGCCAACAAAAGTCTAGTCAAAGCTGTGGTTTTTCCAGTAATCATGTATGGATGTGACAGTTGGACCATAAAGAAGGCTGAGTGCCAAAGACTTGATGCCTTCAAATTGTGGCACTGGAAAAGACTCTTGAGAGTCCCTTGGACAGAAAGGAGATTAAACCAGTCAATCCTAAAGGAAATCAATCCTAAATATTCATTGTAAGGACTGATGCTGAAGCTGAAGTTCCAATACTTTGGCCACCTGATGGGAAGAGTTGACTCATTGGAAAAGACCCTGATGCTGGGAAAGAATTAGGGCAGGAGGAGGGGAAAACAGAGGACGAGATGTCTGCATGTTGGACACGACTGAGCAGCTAAACGGAACTGAACTTTCCCTTCATGCCCAGGTCTGTCCTCTGCAAGAGACCTAAACCCTGGATGAGAATGGCAGAACTTCTAACTTTTCTAGGCCACTCTTACTGTGCTGGAGGAGACTTCGCCCAGCAACTGTTAATTTATGGGAAATCATGGACGGGATTGGTTGGTCTGCAGGTAGATTCAGAGAAGTAACTCGTTAGTCCTTGCCATCCCAAGTCACTTTACAGAGCTGGAGTGGTTCCCAGTACAGATTTGAGTTTCAAATACAGATTTGAGTTTCCTATCAGCAATGTTATTTTTTTAATAGCACTGTGCCTTTATTTCCAATCTGTAAAATGGTATTTATACCCACTTTAGAGTCTGTTAGGGGAATTAAATGTGATGGCATAAATGGAGTATAATTATGTTAGTTCTCTGTAACCTGAAACCTGCCTGTAACCAGGCATTTTAATGAGGCTGGGAGAGGCAGGCATATTGTAGACCTCCCAGGAGGCTAGGTGTTTGCATGAGTAATTTTATGTGAACCACAATCATATACAACTTCCTTGTTTCATAAAGAAGGGCACTGCAAGCAGTTAACTACTGTCTGTATATCTCTACCTAGAACAATGCTTTGGCCCATGTGGCACTTATTACCTACATGTCATGATCTGTTTCCTTTTAAAATTTTTCATCTTGTCAGTTGAAAAATAATGCACAATGTGACAGTTGTGAGTTAAGTTTTCTTTGGGGGCCTAATGAAGATTATAGCCCAGGAGACAGCCTCAGATAGCTCTGAGAAACTACTCTGAAGAAGTAGGGGAGATGAGTATATATTTGATTGGTGGCGGGTGGAAGTGGTGGGGGAAGGGGGTATGTGCAGTAAAGCACACATTTTGGCAGAAGGTTGTTCCTAGCCACAAAGAGCAGATGTCTCTACTTTTCTAGACATGAGAAGATGCAAGAAATTGGGCTCATAAAATCTTCCCCAGAAAATATCTGAAGGTCTGTTTTGTCAATTTTCCCCAGAGCACAGAGTGCCTCATTCCTGATCTGTGTCCTGAACTCTTTTCAAGGTGTGTGGACGGTCCATGACTGCAGTAGCTAGTGACCTCATCGTTCTAAAACCGGATAGTGAGCAATAACTTTTAGTTGGCATTCTTAACTGTGAGCTCTGTGAGACCAGGGAATGATGTACCACTATTGCAACTCTAGTATCTAGCGCTGAGTCACACGTTGGTGAAGGTTAGTCTAGGAAAAGGCATGCTCAAAGGCAAGAGGTGTGAAATGGTATGGCTTACCTCAGAAACGCAAGTAATTAGGTTCTACTGGAGCATCAAGTTTGAGAAGGAAAACTAATTCCATGAGGAAGTGAAGTGAGCTCACTTTTTTTTAAAGGGTCGGGGGGGTCTACTTTTGGATCAGGTGCTTCGCTTAAGCCGAGGAGCAAACAGATTTGCAGTTTCCAGTGCCGGAAATAGTGGCTTCCTCTGCTCCCTCTAGCCGTGCCCCTGTGGGAGGCACTACTGATCAGAAACCTGGAGAAGTATTTGATAGACTATATATTTAGGATTTGCTTACTGCAGGCTATGAGAAGTCCGTGAGGGGTTTTAAACCATGAAAAGTAACGAGGGGGAAGGAAGAAAGAAAGAAAGAAAAAACAAAAAACGGGCAAGTGACGTTATAAACTCCGAAGTCTTGATTTTCACTTCAGGGCTCTTCCCATCAAACTTACTGGCTTTGGAAGAAAACTTAACAAGTTCTGCAGTGGGTAGGCAGAGCAGCGACGATTCAGGAACAACGCTCGGCACCGTCTAAAGTTTGGTTATCACTGGACCAGCCTCTAAAGCTTCGGTTTCACGGAACGAGGACGCCTTTCCTTCACGGAGGGATAATTCTGTTCTTCGCATCCTCTCGGAAACGATGAGCGTTTTCCCTGCCCTCTCTCACCGGTCGGCTCACCCACCCTTCCTCCTCCTCCTCTTCCCCCCCGCCCCCCGCCATTGTTTCGACCCATTGCTGCCTGACGCCTGCTGGGAAGTGTAGTCGCTCGCCCTGCTGTCTGAGCCGGTTTGGCGGCCCTGATGAAGCCGGTAGCTCCGCATAACCCCTCAGCTATTCCAGAGGAGGAGGGGGGGGCCGGGGATGGCCCAGCTGCTCCTCTGAGGAGCAAAACTGGGACTCGCCGCTTCCGGCCCCAGAAGCGGACCGCTAGCAGAGAGGGCTCTGGGACTCCAGTCCCCCTTAGCGGCGCGCATCGTGATGACGTCACTCCGGCCCGCGAGGCCCCTGGGATCCGCGGTAGTTCTCGAGGAGCGGGTCTCAGGTTCGGCAGCGGTGGCCGGGGGACGACACTTCCCAGGAGTCTGCGCGGCGGCGCGACGAGAGCCGCGCGAGGCTGTGATTGGCTGATGAGCCGGCCGCACGCGGAGGAGCTCAAGAAGCCGCTCTGTTGCGACAGAGCCCGAGCGGCGAGGCCCAGTGAGTTGGGGGAAGGGGCGCTAGAAGGAGGCGGGGGCGGGGGAGGGTGCCGGCCGGTGAGGGGGTGAGGCGGAGTGGGGGACGAGAAGAGGGAGGAGGGACTGGGCTGGGATGGAGGCGACTGCAAGGGAGGAGAAGGGGCCAAGAGAGAGAAGCTGACGGGCGGAGGCTGGGGGAGGCTTGGAGGGGTGGTGGTGGGTGGCGAATGAAGAGACCCCAGGGGGACTCACAACGGGGGGTGGGGGGGAAGACGAGGGCGCCCCGGGAAGAAGCTGGACTTGGCGGCCGGGTGGTGTGGAGGGGGAAGACGGGGAGGAGGCCTGAGGCAGAAGGGAGGGAGGGAGCCCGGGAAAAGTGAGGCGGCCGGCTGGAGCGTGGAGCGCCAAGTTGTGGGGAAACTGGAGACCGGGGACCTGTGCCGAGGGGCAGAACTTGGTCCCTCAAGTGGAGGCCCTGAAAGGAGGAGCGTCTCCAGAGCGAGGCCGTCCGTGGGGATTGGTGGACAAAGCCCCGAGGAAAGAGCTGGTGAGATGGGAAGAGCGGCCGAGAAACCGAACTGGCTGGAGACATCCTGACAAAAGTTGGGAGCGACTTTAGGCTGGGGCGGAGCTGGGTATCAGAAGCTTGCTAGGAAATTCCTGAGACGGATGGAGCACAAGGCCCAGGCACTGTGCAGAAGTTTAGAATTTGGGGGTGTTTGCCTTCCTTCAGGCTTTCTGGAAGAACAGTAACGGTTTCCCTGTGATTCATCACCATGCCCTCCGACCTGGCTAAGAAGAAGGCAGCCAAAAAGAAGGAAGCTGCCAAAGCCCGACAGCGGCCCAGAAAAGGCCATGAAGAAAACGGAGATGCCATCACAGAGCCACAGGTGGCAGAGGAGAGAAATGAGGAGGCCAATGGCCGAGAGACCACAGGTGAATAGAGGGAGAGAGGTGGGTTGCTGGGACCCAGTGGATGCCCCTGCTGGAATCTGAGTCGGGATGCTGGAGGCGCCAGAGAGTGTATCTGGTGCCAAGAAACTTTTCATGATGAACCGAACCAGTAGGGTTGGAGCTTGATCAAGGAACCTGAACACAGTTCTCACATACACAGTGGCAAGCAAACATGAGCGTTGTTGTGCTGCCTTGCCGCCCTGTCTTCTAGATTTGGAGGTCAGTTCCCTGCCCCTTTCTGAATTTTCATTTCTACACATGGAGGCAGTGTGCCAGACTGTTTGCCACATGATACTCTTGTCCTCCTGGGGCAGTGACTGTACCAGCAAGACAGAAACATATGAATTGTTTTATGGGTTTTTCCTGGGAAAGAGATGCGTTTCTGTTACAAGCGCTTCTCAAGTATTAGGCACAAGATCACTGAATACTGAGGTACTATAAGCATGGTCTTTCCTCTGATAACTTGCAGTCTAGATGGGGAAACAGGGAAGTGTGTGATAAAGAATATTCAAGGCTCTTGGCTGTCTATCACAGCCTTCTTCCTTGCCCCCAGAAGCTCTCTAAACAGGCCTTCTCTATTGACTACTATTGTCCCTTGAATAGTCACCACTTTTCTGTCCACTTACACATTGAGGTAATTTTTGTATTAGCTACATTTGACATTTTTCTTAGAGCCCAGCTCAAGGTGGTAAAATCTTTCCCTGTCAAGCCTGACCTCAGTAATACTGCTGTTCCTTATATCCCTGTACTATCTATCCAGGGCTTCCCTGTGGCTCAGATGGTAAAGAATCTGCCTGCAATGCAGGAAACCCAGGTTCTGTCTCTGGGTCGAGAAGATCCCCTGGAGAAGGAATGGCAACCCACTCCAGTATTCTTGCCTGGAGAATCCCATGGACAGAGGAGCCTGGTGGGCTACAGTCCTTGGGGTGGGAAAGAGTCGGACACAACGGAGTGTGCACACGCACGCATGCACTATCTTTCGGGTTGCTTTTTCTTTCGGCCAGTACTTACACGGCATATGGAATCCTAGTTCCTAGACTAGGGGATTGAACCCATGCCCCCTGCAGAGGAAGTGTGGAGTCCCAAGCGCTGAACCTCCAGGGGAGTCCCAGTGTTACCCTCATTGTATCTGTTTCTCCATCTGAATTGTTTGATCTTTGAGTGCGGGGACTGTGTCTTGGGTAATACTTATTTTTTTGCATGATTACCCTTGCAGACAGAGATACTAGGTAAAGTTGGAAGAGGAGAGAATTATTCATGCAAGCTGCAACAGAAAGACAGGAATTCTGAAAAAAACAGGGTTTAAAATGATTGTGAGGAGAGAGTTAAATGGTAGGAATTGTCTCCAAAATAAGAATTATGAGGGAGGACTAGTGCAGTCAAGTCAGGCAGTTTTCTTCCTGGCCAGGATAGTGGAGAGATGGGAAGGTAAAAATGGTAGAAGGGAACAAGTGGGCTGAATTGTGATCTGACAAGTAAACAGGGTTCCCTCTAGGCTCTCAAGAACAGGGGTTAAGCCTCAATTCTGTAGTACTTTCTGGATGAGTTGGAAAAGTAGACAGCTGAATCCCACTTTGAGACTCTTGTCCACAGTTCCCATTATAAACTTCTTTGCCTTTCTCCCTAGAAAACCAGAACTTGTCAGGGCAAACCCAGCTGTACTACGCCTAACTCAGTCATAAGGGAGCTTTGAGTTTCACCCTGCTTCCTCAGGGAGCTACTGTTCTGAAATATAAAATCTGGGTTTTTTTCAGCTCTCTCTCTGAAAATATTTCTTATTGCCAGGGACCCAGGGTCATTTCTGCTTTCATAGCTAATGGATCATCTGTCCTCTCTAACAAGACTGGGTCTGCTCTCTCCTCTGAGTTTGGAATTAATTAATTCTCCAACCTGATAGTTACCATTGCTACATGGTCGTCTTTAGGTAGTGAGATACGGAAAGATCAGGAAATATCAAAGAAAGTGACTTGTGACAGACTACTAACCTTCTTTCGAATGTGAGACTCTTTAGGATTCATACTGGAGTTCAGCTGCCCCCCCTTGTTTGGAAAATGAATAGAAAGGGGCTGCTTGTGAAGTCTGCAGTATTTCTTCTGATGACGTTTATTCCAGAATCCCTTCTCCATTTATTCAGTGCTGTTCACTTATCATTTGAGCCTGTTTTCTAGGATGCTGTAAGCCAAGACAGTGAAGTATAAGTCTTTCTTTTAAAGCTCAGGAGATGACTTAGGTCATAGATGCTTAAACTGGAAAAGATCAAGAGAAAAGTTGTATAGCTGTGTCTCAGTGTCTGCTGGGGGTAGGTCCCAGGATCCCTGTGGATATGAGAATCCACAGATGCTCAAGACTGTTAACATAGAATGGTGTATGTAGTCTTTGCATATAACCTGGCATGTCTCTAGATTACTTACTGTACCTAATACAACATAAATACTATGAAATAGTTGCCAGTGTGTGGCAAATTCCAAGTTTACTATTTGGAACTCTGTGGAGTGCTTTTTTTTAAATGTACGTTTGGATTAAATGTGATTTTGGATGCAGAACTGTGGATACAGAGGGTTGGCTGTGTAGCTTTCCTTTAATTTTGATCTTCTTACCTGAGCACATGGAGATACAGTCTGGAGACTTTTCCTATAAAGATCCAGATAGTGGATATTTGCATCTCTGTGGGCCATATGGTCTCTGATGCAGCTGTTCAGCTTTGTCATTGTGGTGGAAAGCAGCAATAGAGAGCATGAAAATGTTGGGTGTGACTGTCTCCCAATAAAACTTTATTTACAAAAGCAGGCACTGGCCAAATGTAGCCAGCCTTTTTTGTAAGCCACCCCGTCCCGGGCTAAGAATGTTTTTTACATTTTTTAAGTGGTTATGTTTCAAATGGTAATGGATATGCTTACGTAATAGTTGTGATTTTGCTACCAGGACTATAACCCTAAAATATTTACCATCTGGCCCTTTAAGAAAAAGTTTACTAACTTCTTATCTAGATCATAAACTTCTCTCTACACTGTCTTCTCAAGATCTAGAACAGGGATTGGCACAAAATGGGGCTGTGAGAAGCCTGGTGACTCAACTGTGTAGAAAGGAGACTTTTAAAATTCCTCTCCTCCGTCAGAACTGCCCTGGACCCCTCTGTATTTTCTCATACTGGTCCCTTCCAGGCAGTATGGCTTCTTGGAATTAGCACCTGGAAGCTCTGTAGGTTGTGGAGGAAGAGAACTGCACCTCTACAGCATCTGCTCTCTCTGGGGCATTAATACTAACTTGGGGGCTTCCCTGATGGCCCAGTGCTGAAGAATCCGCCTGCCCATGAAAGAGACATGGGTTCGATCTCTGGGTTGGAAAGATCCCCTGGAGAAAGAAATGGCAACCACTCCAATATTCTTGCCTGGGAAATCCCATGGACAGAGGGGCCTGGTGGGCTACAGTCCATAGGGATCACAAAGAGTGAGACATGACTCAGCGACTGAACAATGACAGCTAATTCTTTAATACATACTCATGGAGGATGATTTGGAGTTCTAGCCATTGCTACCATGCATCATATCATCTAAGAACAAGAGAAGTTAGAACTAAAAGGACAAGTTGTGAAGTAAAAAATGTCCATGAAAGCAGGATACCAGGGCTGATCTACGTGTAGTGTACACCGTGTTAAAGCTTGTGAAACATCTGAGTCAGCTCAACCTGATCTTGAGCCCTGGTCCTTCAGGACACGCCTCGTTCAGCCTTTGGATTTTTATGTGTTAATATGTGGTAACTTAAAGTTTAAGGGCGAAAGCCATAAATGCCCAAGCAGGGGCTTGAACCCTCGGCCCTCACAGTAAAAGTCTGATGCCCTTCTGACTGAGCCACTCAGATGCCCCAAGATGTGCCTTTTTGTGTAAGAGTTAAGCCTGTCTCACAGCCCTCTTCCCAGACTGCTTTTCTCTTCTGTCCCCAGAAGTGGATTTGCTGACCAAGGAGCTGGAGGACTTCGAAATGAAGAAAGCTGCTGCTCGAGCTGTCACTGGCGTCCTCGCCTCTCACCCCAACAGTACCGATGCCCACATCATCAACCTCTCCCTCACCTTCCATGGTCAAGAGCTGCTCAGTGACACCAAACTGGAATTAAACTCAGGCCGTCGCTATGGCCTTATTGGCTTGAATGGAATTGGTGAGGCCCTTGGAAAGTGAGGTGGGAGCTGTCTCTCCTTGGCTCATCTCTCGCTCAGCAAGTGTTTCCTTATTATCAGCTGTGTACAAAGCTGGGCATTTGCAGTATGGGTGGGAGCCAGATATGCCCACCTACCCATACAGAGCAGTCATGTGATAAGTACCACGTGAGTCGTTGCAGGCAGTAGGTGCTGGAACAGTGGGTGGGAGTGGGTGGGAGTGGTGTGTGAAGCGTCTAGGTGCACAGACTTCAGAGAGGAGGGCTGGGACAGGACCGGGCAGAGCTGTGTCCCGTGGAGGGGCAGTCATAGGGTTTGAATGAATGAAAGGAAAGAAAGGACTCAAAAAACGGGGAAGTCTTGGTTTGACTGGGAAAGATTGAAGGTGAGAGGAGAAGGGGGCGACAGAGGATGAGATGGTTGGTTGGCATCACTGACGCAATGGACATGAGTTTGGGTATGCTCCAGGAGTTGGTGATGGACAGGCAAGCCTGGCATGCTGCAGTCCATGGGGTTGCAGAGTCGGACATGACTGAGCGACTGAATTGACTTGGTTGACTGGAGTGGAGGGATTGATGTAGGGCAGTGACAGGCAGAGCTTTGCTGAGTGTCCCCTCTCTGCCTGTTTGTCGCCTGCCCCTCTCAGGAAAGTCCATGCTGCTCTCTGCTATTGGGAAACGTGAAGTGCCCATCCCCGAGCACATTGACATCTACCATCTGACTCGTGAGATGCCCCCTAGTGACAAGACACCCCTGCAGTGTGTGATGGAAGTGGACACAGAGCGGGCCATGCTGGAGAGGGAGGCTGAGCGGCTGGCTCACGAGGACGGTAGGGCTCCAGACCCAGGGGCGTGGGGTGGCTTCCCCCCGGGAAAGGCCCCGGGAGCCTCACCGGCCACGCACCATCCACAGCGGAGTGTGAGAAGCTCTTAGAGCTCTACGAGCGGCTGGAGGAGCTGGATGCTGACAAGGCGGAGATGAGAGCCTCGCGGATCTTGCACGGACTGGGTTTCACGCCTGCCATGCAACGCAAGAAGCTCAAAGACTTCAGCGGGGGCTGGAGGATGCGGGTTGCCCTCGCCAGGTGCGTCTCCCCCACCTCCTCCCTCCATGGCACCCTGTCTCCTCAGGGTTGAGTGCTCTCTCCCACAGAACTGTTTAGAACAGGGGTCGGTGGTCAGTCCGTGCCAGATACCGACAGTGTGGAGGGGCAGGGATGATGTACGTGAGCTTCCTGACCCACGTGGTCCTTGTTGGACTTCCAGCACCATGTTCAGGAATCCTAGGACCAGCTCTAGGTAAATGGGAGGATAGGTCTGTCTCTTTCCTCTTGACTCCTCTCCCCTTCCCCCTTTTTGGGCTCCAGCCTTTCTAATTCTTGTTGTATAAAGATAAATTGTTAGACAGCTGCTAGGATATCTGTCCTTGCTCTCTCTTGACCCGACCAAGAACCAGTTTCTGTAGGCCGTCATTTCCGCACCGATCCCCCGAGAAGTCCCCAGTCACATAAGTGGTTCCTCCCCCCACCCATCTCTGCACAGAGCCTTGGGGAAGCTTGATACACTCTTTCAGCAAGGCTGCCTGAGTGTGCCCTGGAACATAAGAGTCTTGGCTTCACGTTGTAGCCTCAAGTTCACTAGGGAGCTTTTACACACACGGATTTCCTGACCTCTTCACCTCTATGCTGGAGTCACGTCCAGAAACCTGGTTTCTAAAAAGTGCTGCAGATGTGGTGACCGCAGGGGTGGGACCAGTGCTGTCCCCTTGTTCCTCCTGTGTTGAGATACCATCTAAGAAAAGAACATTCTTGGGCCTCCTTGCTAGAGTCTAACAAACCCACCAGTTAGGTTTCACCTGAATGCTTTTTGGCAGTGTACCTTTTCTGTATCCTTTTGTGTATCTCGATGGTCACCAACCTCAGTGTAAGAGACTTACAGACTCATAACAGACTTCTACAGCCTTATCTCCGAGCTGCATCTTCCCTCTGCTTCTCAGCTCTGTTTTCTGCTCTTTAACCCCCACCCTTCATCTCTTGTTTCTCTCCTACTTCTCACCTTTTGTCTGAGGTATAGAGCCTAGAGTTGATTTCAGGACTCAGTGCAGGCCTGACCAGAGCTGCAGGTAGCAGGCAGGCCATCCCCTCCTGTGTAGCATGCAGTAGACTGAAGTGGTTCTATCTCCTTTCCTGTCTTCAGAGCCCTCTTCATTCGACCCTTCATGCTGCTCCTGGACGAGCCCACCAACCACCTGGACCTCGATGCTTGTGTGTGGTTGGAAGAAGAGCTAAAGACGTAAGAGACGGGGCTGGGGGGAAGTGGGCAGTCCTCAGGGAGGGGCTGAGCAGAGTCCAGGGGAGATGACACCCAGGACCCGCAGTGATACTAGAGCAGTGAGCAGTGGACCAAAGTGAGGCCAGAGGGAAGACCAGACTGAAAAGGTGGTGACCACCTTTGTTCTTGTTTAGTCACTTAGTTGTGTCCCGACTCGTCACGACTCCATGGACTCTAGCCCACCAGGCTCCTCTGTCCGTGGGATTCTCCAGGCAGGAATGTTGGAGTGGATTGCCGTTGTTTTCTCCAGAGGATCTTCCCCACCCAGGGATCAAATCCACGTTTCTTGCATTGCAGGCTGGTTCTATACCACTGAGCCACCAGCAAAGCCCAGTAACCACCTTTAGGGTGGGCCATTTTGTTAGCTTTTGTTTAGTCTGAAATATATGAATTTCTTTGTTTCTTTTTTCCTATTGTTTAAAATACAATATCTTTGTTAAAGATAATATTTTTTATTAATTGTATTTATATCATATAAACAGGGATTCCCATATAAGATCATGATGTAGTGACAAAGAGAAAAATAGCCCATATGGCCATGGTCCTTTGCTTGAGAGCCAGATAACCTGGAAAGTTGCCCCAGTTCTAGAAGGCTTTCCATGGTCTCTGCAGTGACCTGGTACCTTCTTTATAAAAAGGAGTGGTTTAGTTGCTAAGTCATGTCCGACTCTTGCGACCCCATGGACTGTAGCCTGCCAGGCTCCTCTGTCCATGGCGATTCTCCAGGCAAGAATACTGGAGTGAGTTACCATTTCCTTCTCCAGGGCATCTTCCCAACCCAGGAATTGAACCCGGGTCTCCTGCATCGCAGGCAGATTCTTTACCAACTGAGCTGTGAAGATAGTAATATGAAAAGGAGAGCCTGGTGATTTTTACTGTACCCATTCCAGTTCTCCACACTGGCTTTAGATGTGTTTATGGGTGCTTGTGCACATTTTTAATTTTACCATCACTATTACTGCCATCTCCACTCCATTCTTTTGAAAATTAGAACAAAAGTTTGAGGAATTTCGACTGCCTCACCACACTTTGAAAAGCATCTAGTGGCCTTATACATAGATTGAGCACTGGCAGCTTAGGTGCTGAGAGCAGGGAATTGGCCAGAAAATCTAAAGGATGCTCAGGCATAAGGGTGGGAAAGGATGAAGGTTTTCTGGGCCCAACGTTCACCTCCCCTGTTGTGAACTGTCTACTGTGTTGAGCTCCTCCCTGACTGGTTCTCTGGCTTTGCAGTTTTAAGCGCATCTTGGTCCTCGTCTCCCACTCCCAGGACTTCCTGAATGGTGTCTGTACCAACATCATTCACATGCACAACAAGAAGCTGAAGTATTACACGGTGAGTGGGCCCCAGCTTCTCCACAGTTCCCTCTGTGCTTCCTGATTCCCTGAAGCTCTCCTTTAAAAAAAACTGACTTAGCAGCCCTTTTCTACCTATTGCTATAAAAAGATGTGGACAGGGAGTTCTGCAGTCTGTTTTATTTTAGTCCCAAAGTAATTGCATTCAGGCCATAGGCCATGGATTGGCAGCCTGTGCACAGGGTGTATGTTTGCCTTATTCAGAGAGGCTGCCTCTTCACGGTGCCCAGGCAGGCCTTGCTGCCCTCTGCCTTCTTGAGTAGCTACTTACGAAAAATAGAAGTCCTCTTTATTCATAGTTGTACTCACCAGAGGAGTATTAATAGTTCTTACATAATTTTTCAGAAATTTCACATGTACTTGGAAGCATTTGTAAAAAGTCTTATGTACACAAAGCACGATTCTGTCAGTTGTGTTTAAATTTTAATATGTCTTGGATGACTTTCCATATGAGTATAGTTAAAGTGTCCCCCTTTTTTTTCCAGTGACTGCATGGTATTCCATTGCGTGGCTATCCTGTAACTTACTTGTCAGACTCTTTGATGGATGTTTAGGTTGAGTCTGGGTGTTTGCAGATAGACACCACGGTAGTCCATAGTGCAGGGTTTACCAGGTCCTAAATCTGACTGCTCTGGTGTCTTCCCACCTGGAGGAAGTTCTTGTGGCCTGACTGGGGCTTCAGCCTCTCCAGGTGGGGAAGGGATGCATGTGCCCTTGGAATGCTGTGATCCTCTTGATGATCAGTATGACAGTGGTTTTCAGGGCTCCTGCCCGGGCTGTGGGTGTCTTTATGGCTAACCTGAGGATTTAGTCTGGAAGCCCTGCTCTAGGAAGGAGAGGCACACAGTTTGAAAAGACCTCAGCTTCTAGGTTTAGATACGCTTTTTTTTTTTTAAATACTTATTTGGCTCTGTTGGGTCTTAGTTGCAGCATATGGAATCTAGTTCACCTGGGCCACCTGCATTAGGAGCTCAGAGTCTTAACCGCTGGACCAACAGGGAAGTCCCAGAATATGCTTTTTTAATACACTTCCTCTTCCCCCGCTGCACCACCTCATAGCCAGGGCCAAGTCAGGTACCATCTTGAACCCCCCCCGAATGAGGACCCAGAGCCGAGGCTAACGCTGCCCATCTTGCCCGGTGCCTCTTCCTGCAGGGTAATTACGATCAGTATGTGAAGACGCGGCTGGAGCTGGAAGAGAACCAGATGAAGAGGTTTCACTGGGAGCAGGATCAGATTGCACACATGAAGGTAGGGCCAGGATCTTGTCCTCCGGGAGAGCTGACGGAAGGTGTCTGGGGAGGTGAGGGGCTATAGAAGTCCTTTACCCTCTTTTCAGATGAATCATGGGGTACCTGCCCACACACAAGCCCCCTCTCTACACTCTTTCAGAACTACATTGCTAGGTTCGGTCATGGCAGCGCCAAGCTGGCCCGGCAGGCCCAGAGCAAGGAGAAGACGCTACAGAAAATGATGGCTTCCGGACTGACAGAGAGGGTTGTGAGCGACAAGGTAGGGTCTGGTTGGGTGGAATTAGGTGGCCTAACATGAGGTGGATAGGGAAGGACCTGACTTGATAAATGCCTCTTTATCCTCTTCCTAGACGCTGTCATTTTATTTCCCACCATGTGGCAAGATCCCTCCACCTGTTATTATGGTGCAGAATGTCAGCTTCAAGTATACAAAAGATGGGGTGAGTACTTGGGTGTGGTTGGGAGGCTGGGGTACATTTTACAAGGTGTCAGCTGGCGAGAAGAGTGTCCTATTTGCTGATGGCATCTACTAACCCTTGTGGTGCTGGGGAGTTTTCAGGCCTGGCAGCCTGGGTTGCCTCACTGAGAGCCTTAGAGGAATGGGGGTACCCTTCAAGTACTTGGAGGGGACATTGTTCAGCTACATTGGTGGGTGAAGGCAGTGGGTAGGGAGCTGCCATGGGAGCTTCCTCCCTCCTCACTCCAGCTGCCTCTGGTGGTGACTGGGGGCTCAACGAGATTGCTCTGCCAGTCGGGTTGATCACTCTACCCCTGGATCTGTTTCTCTCCCCCCCCACCTCAGCCTTGCATCTACAACAATCTAGAGTTCGGTATCGATCTCGACACACGAGTGGCTCTGGTGGGGCCCAATGGAGCAGGGAAGTCAACTCTTCTGAAGCTGCTAACCGGAGAGGTATGGTGTCAAGTCGGGGCGTGGGACTCCAGCATTAGATGCCACTGTGTCAGGGTGGGGAGGCGGCATGCAGGGGCCACTGCTCTTGGAGGGCCTGTGTGCTCTCAAGATGAGTGAGCCGTCCTCTGGGGGGCGGGTCATCACTGGGCAGTGTGATGTTTCAGCATTTTCTTAGAGAAAACTGGGAGGAGGAGTGTGTGTGCGTGAGAGCCTGTGAGAGACAGCCCAGGCCTGCTTTCACCGTCTTCTTGTGTCTTCATTCAGAGCATTTAGAACACAGGAGCAGCTGTGCATTTAGAAACATTTTTATTGTAGAAAACGTAATTTGGACCCCTGCGAGTCCTCTGTCATAGTTCAGCGCGTGGGATAGTAGTCCTTTAATAACTACCCAGTGGATTGTGTGGTGTGTCTCTGCCTCCCCTGAGAACATCTGTCTCGGTGTATTTTCTCCGAATGGCCAGAAGAGCAGTTTGTGAAGTGGTACGGGTTCTGTTTTGTAGGAAGTTGTAGGAGTCCCACTCGGTGTGAACGAATGTTTGCTTCCCCTCTCTGCCTGTCTCTGCTTCTGACCAGGTTTCCTTGTCTGTGTGGTTATCTTTCCACTGTCTACTCTTTTTTTTTTTCTTCCCATAGCTACTGCCCACAGACGGAATGATCCGAAAACACTCTCATGTCAAGATAGGGCGTTACCATCAGGTATAGTCCTGGTGGGGAGCGGGAGATTGCCCAGGGTGGGAGAGCAGGGCTGCGTGTGCCCAGGTCAGCTCCTGGGTGGTTCTGCAGTCCTGAACAGCTGCCTGGGGAGAGGTAGTGAGACAGTACGCAGCAGGGACCCCAACAGGCTGCCTTGGAAGAACACTAGGCACACCTGGGTGAGTTCTTTTTTTTTCCCTGTAGCATTTACAAGAGCAGCTAGATTTAGATCTCTCGCCTTTGGAGTACATGATGAAATGCTACCCCGAGATCAAGGAGAAGGAGGAAATGCGGAAGATCATTGGGCGATATGGTCTCACTGGGAAACAGCAGGTCAGTGGAGTAGGGGTGAGAGGACCCCAGGCAACTGGGAGATGCAAGCTGGGCGTCTGCTTTTTCCTCTGCTCTAGGTGGTTACAGATTGGAGCTCTGAAGTCTCAAGAGAGGGTGGGGGGTTGCATGCTGGTCTCTGACATGCCCTTGCCCCCAGACTAGCAGGATGGGCCATGTTGTTAAAAGGCAAGGGAAATTGAGACCTAGAACACAGGGTCCTCTGATCCAGACTCCCTGACGGCTCCACTGCATCAAGACTCTGTGCTGAGGCAGGGCTTCAGGCTTCCCGGTGTGTTCCTTTCAGCCCTTGAGGGACTGGCAGGGTGCCACTGTCTTAATGTGTGATCTTGGGTCTTCCTGAGCCCCGCTCTCTTGTAATAACAGAGAAGCCATGGGGCGAGGTGAGTCGTGATGCGTGGTGAGGGCAACCCTGGACCTCATAAATGTCATGGTTCCATGCAGGTGAGCCCGATCCGGAACTTGTCTGATGGGCAGAAGTGCCGAGTGTGTCTGGCCTGGCTGGCCTGGCAGAACCCCCACATGCTCTTCCTGGATGAGCCCACCAACCACCTGGACATTGAGACCATTGACGCCCTGGCAGATGCCATCAATGACTTTGAGGGTGGTATGATGCTGGTCAGCCATGACTTCAGACTCATCCAGCAGGTGAGACTCCTGGCCGGGAGGCAGTTGGGGGTAGAACAGCGCCATGGCACGTGGGGGACACGGAATCCATGTTACTGTGTTTGGGAAAAGGGCGCAGGACGTCAGGTGGAGAGGACCAGATCTTATGGTTCTCTGAGAAACTTAGAAAGCCTTCACAGAAATACTTTTAATTCTTCATTAGCTGTTTGGAGCTGTTAGCCTACTTGGCATCATTGGCCAAAATCAGGGAGGAAATTGAGTAGAGAATAGGGTGCTTTTGCTATTGTTTCCAGGATTCTTCAGCCTGGAAATAGTATTGTACTCAGGAGACTCTGGATTATACAGAGGGCTCCTGCCTGTCACTGGGGAGAAAGCTGTTGGTCATCTCTCTGAAGCTTTGAGAAAGGTGGGATGGATCACTGGAAGCTGAGAGGCAGGCCTTGAACAGGCCTGGGTCCTGCTAGGGAACTGGCAGTTGGGGAGACCAGCGGGTTCCAGCTTGGAAGGCCCCTCCCCCTGCTGGGTATGGTGTCTAGATTAGACCAGCCAGGATTGCTGAGGGGGTGAAACAGAGCTGGACGTGGGCCGGCGGGAGCTCATGGGTTTTCCTTCTCAGAATCCGCTGGGAAGAGTCTCCTGGGCCGGGGTGGGAAGGGCGCTGGCCAGGGTGACTAAGTCTGGGGTTTGCTCTCCAGGTTGCACAGGAAATCTGGGTCTGTGAGAAGCAGACAATCACCAAGTGGCCTGGAGACATCCTCGCCTACAAGGAGCACCTCAAGTCCAAGCTGGTGGGCGAGGAGCCCCAGCCCACCAGGCGGACCCACAATGTGTGAGGCCTTGCCGGCCGGCCGGCCAAGCCAGGCCCCCGGGGCCGCATCCTGCATTGCTGCAATACTGCTCCCCAGCCCCTTGCCCCACCTGCCTTAGCTGCACTCTGCGATCCTATCTACAGCTGGACAGGACCTGTCCGTCTCCTGTCCTTCAAGCTACTGTGTCCATGTCTGGACTCAGGTGGCTGTTCCCACCAGCTCCTCGCTGGTTTTGACCCGATAGTGATGCAGCCAGAGGCCTCTGAGGGTCAGCCCGCAGGCCCATGCCCCGGGTTGGCCTGTGAAAAAGCTTAGGATCCTCGTTCTCTGGGTTCTGGTGATGTTGGAGGAATACCCCCCCAGCCCACCGCCCCCATTCCTTTCTGCTTCTGGTTTGGAGCTCTGACCAGGGCCTTAAACCTGGTCGGTTTTTAAATAATTATTTAACAGTGTAACTTTTAGACCTGCGTGACATCTACAAAGCGTCCAATAAAGAAAGAAGAAGCCATGGTCCCTGCCTTCCTCCTTGGGTCTCTGGGTCCTCTCCTACTCCTCCCTGCGGTGCCAGCGTTCACCTGCCCTCAGCATGAGCTGGAGCGGTAGTCAAAGGGCTGGGTGCAAGCTGAGGACTGTCCCCGGGCACTGGGAGAACTCTCTTCCCTTCTGATTTGAACTCATGCCTTTATTTAGGCCAGTGGTTCACAGACATTAACGTGCGTCAGAATCACCTGGAAGACTCATTGAATCACCGACTGCTGGGTCTCACCTTGGAGTTTCTGATTCAGTAGGTCTAGGTGAGACCAGGAATTAACATTGCTGAGAGCTCCCCAGCGCTGCTGCTGCTGTATTCCTGGTGGGGATTAAGTTTTGTTATGTTAACCCATCCACAGCCTTAATTTTCATTAGCGCTGTATCCATTTTAACAATACTTCCAAGCCAGGGCTTTGCATAGCATCCAGCCTTTGTGCCACCAGGCTTCCTGCTTGCTTCACTTCTGAAATCTTAGCGACCATCCCTGTTTCCCCCGGAGGGGAAACATACACAGCCATGCTTTCTGGGTGCTCACTATAGTCCGTCTAAGACAGTAAAACACAAAAAAGTCCCAGATGGTGTCTAAACCCCCGAAGAGCTCGCGATCTAATGGGAAAGCCAATAAGACAGAAAAGGGCATAAATCAGGTGCCAAGTTGTAACTTAGATGGTAGGTTACACAGGAGACCTTAAAAGGGAGGGAAGTTTCTCGTGAGTAGCTGCCCAGAAAGCTGGGATCGATGCTGTAACTTGAAAGGTGAGTAGGGTCTTCTCAGATTGCCGTGGACTCCCAGAGCTTCCCTTGGCAGAGGGAACAGGGTATCAGGTGAGTGCCTGCAGCTTAGCCCGAGATTCCGAGGCTGGAGTGAGGGGCTCCACTCTGACTCCACCCTCAGACCCCCAGGGGCCTGGCCTGGCTGCTTTGCACCTCAAGGCGGGGGCCCAGAGAAAAATGGCTCGTCAGTCTTCCCTGAGTGTCCAGAGGCTTGGTTAGGAGGATAGTGGGAACAGAGATGAAGAGCCGCTACTTTGGCCAAGGGAGGGCCTGGTTGTGTGAAGAACTCCTGCGGAAGTCTGTTGGGGTCTCCAGGGCAGGGGGAGGGGGGCTCCAGGCCTGGAGGAAGGGAATGCAGTAGGCTGGTCAGCTTGTCCAGGAAAAAGGCCAGCCTCAACATTTTAAAAAATGTTTAAAAAATCCCACAAAATACACATTTCTACAAGCACCTAAAATCAGTGCCTTACTTTGGATCGAGAGTCACCCTCCTGCTCCTCCAACCTCTGGCACGCAGCCACAGCTGAATGATGGGGTCTGGGGGTGTGGGGGCTTGGTGAGGTGCGGGTGCTCGGGCCTGCCTATGGCAGGTGATGCTCATTTGGCTCCTCCCCACCTCTATTGGGAAAACCCTCTTCTCCCCACAGCCTGGGCTTATCCCATTGCTCTCAATTTCCTTAACCACAGCATTCAAGGACTTGAAATCCTCACACTAGGTGCAAAGTGAGACCACCTTCTCTGCAGAATAGCACCTTTTCTCCCCCTTCCCTTCACAGCTCACTCCCTCAGGGGCCTCATGTTCACGGAGAGCACCCTGTGTTTCTCACTCCGGCTTCCTCCAGTCTGCCTTCCCTGACACCCTCCCTGTCAGGCCCTCCCAGCTGTGGTTCCTGCTGCCTTCACCTGTCTGGGCTCAGGTTCTGCTCCATCTTGTGCTGTTAGTCCAAGCCTCCCTGAAACCACACCCACTGATTTCTTTCTCCCTTTCCTCCCAACTAAAATTTCCCCTCTCCCTAGTTAGGTTGTACCCATCCTACCAGGGGCTTCCCAGGTGGCAGAGTGGTAAAGAATCAGCCTGCCAATGCAGGAGACACTAGAGACCCGGGTTTGGTCCCTGGGTGGGGAAGATCCCCTGGAGAAGGAAATGGCAAGATCCAGTATTCTTGCCTGGAAAATGCTATGGACAGAGGAGCCTGGCAGGCTACAGTCCATGGGGTTGCAGAGTCGGACACGACTGCACGCACACACATGTCCTACCAGACCAGCTTCAAATCCCCGTTTGTTTCCTGAAGCCAGAGTTGTCTTCTTTTAAATCAATTGTGTACTTCTATAGCCTATCTTTAAATATATATATATATATACACACATATATATATATATATATGTGTATATATATATACACTAAGATTTTTCCGAACTCTGTTTCACACTTTTTACCCTTTCACCCTTCCCTGATGGTTTCCGGTGAACCAGTCTTATCTCTCAAGCTAAACTGCAGACCCTCAGAGAAGGGGAGAGGGGCTTCCCTGGTGCCTCTGATGGTAAAGAATCTGCCTGCAATGCAGAAGACCTGGGTTTGATCTCTGGGTCAGGAAGATGCCCTGGAGAAGGGCGACCCACTGCAGTGTTCTTGCCTGGAGAATTCCATGGACAGAGGAGCCTGGCGGGCTACAGTCCCTGGGGTCACAAAGTGAATGAATGAATAATACTTTTACTTGGGGGGCGGTGCTGGGGGCCTTGTGTTACTCCGACGCTCTCCAGCACTCAGCCATCCATGCGAGCACATGGGTGACTTACTTGTGTGTTATAAGTATTTTGGGAGACAGAAGGGTGGGAAGGGGGCTGGTGGAGGCTTATTCAGAGATAGAATCCTGGGGGCAAAAAAAAAAAAAAAGAATCCTGGGGGCAGTGGAGAGGAAGGAGCAATTAGGCTCTTTCAGGATTAACCCAGAGCATGTTCTGAATTGGGTTGGGCCCGCCCCGCCCCGCCCCTGCGCCCAGGTGCTGGCCCCTAGCCCCTCCAGGTGGATGGGCAGCTGACCTCTTAAAAGTTCGCCCAAGACGTGGGAGGAGGCCGCCGGGAGGACCAGGAGGATGAGTGCTGAGCACGGACAGCTGCAGCAGTCTGGGTGCCGGCGAGGCCGGAGTCCTGGGGACAAGAAGTCCAGAAGGCGCAGCCGGCGCAAAGAAACCTACTCGATGTACATCTACAAGGTGCTCAAGCAGGTGAACGTGGGGGGGCCACCATGGGCGTGGGGCGGGGGCTGGCGAAAGCCTGGGAAGGACCTGGATGGAGTTCAGGCCGGGGCACCGTTCACTCCGTACCCCCCACGCCCCTCTTGTGGGGTTGCTCTTCATCTCAGAGGCCCGGAGGCCCACTCAGTGTCCATCCTGCACCTGTGGGCAGGAGGCGGTTCAGACACGCTCCCACCCTGGTCCAGAGGCTACACAGGGCTCTGGGGCAGACAAAACAGTCACGTGGGACCTTAGGTGGGACAGTTTAAGTGAAGGAAGGCCACAGGAAAGTGCAGGGCTGATCAGGTGCCCAACGTGCAGGTCCAAACAAGAGGGACTAGTTAGCTGTGGCTGGAGGGAGGAGTAGCTCCAGTGAACTGCGGTCTTGGGGGAGCTCCCCAGATGGGCGACGCTCTGTCTTTGAGGGGCTGAGGGGTTGGTCCACCTTACAGATAAGGAACCTAAGGTACTAAGGGCTCAGCGGGGTGACTGGGTCACGTAACCTGACAGCGGTGGAGGTTACCTCAGCCCTCCAGCCCCAGCCAGCCCTGACTCTGGATGAGCCCCAACCCTAACCCACACTCAGCCTCCCAGCGCACCTGTGAGGACCACCTACTCCTGGGACTCATGCAGACACCTAAGGGCACCCATCCGCTTTGTCTGATGGACCCCAGGCACCTGGCCTCGAACGCTCTGCCCCGCTCAGCAGAGCTGGGCCTGGCAGTGAGCTGCCTGCGCTGGGTCTCCCCTCACCTGCCTGAGTCTCATCGCTGTGAGACCAGACCCCAGACATGGACCTTGTCTCCAGTCTGAAATCCCATAAGCTGAATCCAGTTTGAGTGACTGGACAGCTGGGGGTCTCCGGGAGCGCTCTCACGGGGTGGGCCCTGCACCCACGTGGACGGGCCAAAGGGCAGCAGCAGAGAAGACTCCGGGGTCCCGATGAAAGTGGGGTGGGAGCCCGTGTTAGTGGGACCCCTGCAGCTTAGCCTAGCTTTTCGGCTCCAAAATTGTGAGGGCAGCACTGGGGCAGGACTGGGCTCCCCGAAGAGAGCTGCTGAGCGGGTCCCCCGGGTCGAGGGGGGGGGCACTGCCCCGGTCACCTCGAGGGGAAGAGGGTGTGATGACCAGGGTCCGGCTCAGGTTTCCCGCTGTCAGATCTGTGGCCCCCAGAGGCCGTGCGGAGAGGGAGCGGCCAGGCCAGAAGCCAGGGTGTTCGTTCACCTCCACCACTGGCCTGACATGTATGTTGACAGTCACTTCCCTCCCACTTCGCAGAGAAATGGGCTTCCCAGGTGGCTCAGATGGTAAAGTGTCTGCCTGCAGCGCGGAAGACCCTGGGTCAGGAAGATCCCCTGGGGTAGAGTACTCCAGTGCTCTTGCCTGGAAAATCCTATGGACAGAGGAGCCTGATAGGCTACAGTTCATGGGGTCACAAAGAGTCGGACGCGACTGAATGACTTCACTTTACTTTTACTTTTTGCAGAGAAATGGTGTCTGCCTGCTCACGTGTTAGGATTGTTATAAGGTCCCTCCCGTTTGTTTACTAGGGATCACTTAGTTCAAAAGCTGGTGTGACAGAAGAGGAAACTCAGAGGAAAGTGCCTTGTCTAAGGTCCCATAGGGACTCACGGGACAGCCCCAGATCCCCGTCTCCTCACTCCCAGTCTGCTGTGGAGAGTGTGTCCTAGGTGGGCCCTTTCTGGAAAATCTGGTTAACCATCTACCAAGTTTTGTGCACCAGTCCTCTAGGAACTTCTAGGAATAACCAGCTTGCTTGTACAAGTGTCCAGTGTTCAAAGACATGTATTTATTATAACACGATATAATAGCAAAATGTAAAGCACACCCCCTAAATGTCCATGAAGAGAGGGATGGTGATATGAACTATGATGCATCCATGGTATGAAACACTGTGCAAATGCATTAATAGAAAAAGAAAGAAAGAAAAAAAAGAGGCAGCATTCCTTATCTCTTGCAGTTGAGAGAAACTTCTTTTTTTTAACTTGGATACAGTAGTAACCTGTTTGGCCTCCGGAAAGAGGATGATGAGGTGGCTTTGAGGTCCCCAACTTGGGGGTGGGGGTGGGGCTTGTGGCATCAGGCAGAGCCCCCCTGTTAACAAACTGCTCCTGCTGCTTCCCCAGGTGCACCCAGACATCGGCATCTCCTCCAAGGCCATGAGCATCATGAACTCGTTCGTGAACGATCTGTTTGAGCGGCTGGCTGGCGAGGCCGCCCGGCTGGCCCAGTACTCGGGCCGAACCACACTGACGTCCCGGGAGGTCCAGACAGCCGTGCGTCTGCTGCTGCCTGGAGAGTTGGCCAAGCATGCTGTGTCCGAGGGCACCAAGGCCGTGACCAAGTACACCAGCTCCAAGTGACCCGGGGCCCGACCCTAATAAAGGCTGCACTGCTCTCCTGTGTTGTTCTGATTTCAAAAAGGGATGCGTGGAGGTGAGGTGTGGTGTGGGGCAGGGTGTCCCTACTTGTCACGCCCACAAGATGGAAGAACACTTATGCATACCTCATACCTCTTAAAACCTGCGTTCTGGGTGGGGCCCACGGGTGACATGTGACACTTTGTAAATGTACAGCATTCTTGTTCTTAGGTGAGATGAGGGACGACCTAGTCTGGGTAAGAATCCTGAGTCTGCCGCTGGCTGTTTCCATCACGCCCTCTCTGGGCCTGGAATTCCACATGCATCCCTCCTTTAGGACAGAGTTCTGTGAGGCCATTTCTAGAAGACTTATTTTTGTCCTGTGCTGGGCACACGGGCTACACAGATCTACAAGATACAAAAACGAAGGCCCAAAGCTTCAAAGTAACCTACTGGGATCTCAAAGATGTTTTTATTTTCCCCTATGGTTTTCTTCCCCTTAATTTCAGAACAAATTGGTGAGAATGTTTTTGAGACTCCTAACTTTTCTTCTCCCATTTTATTTTGGAAAAAAAAATGCAAAAATAGTACCATAACCACTTGTACACCCTGCACCTAGATTCACTACATAATACATGACCACATTCTCCTTTTCTAATTCAGCCTCTGCTGCGGTAGAGTGAAGGGCTGGCTGGGATTGCGTGAACAGTCCAAAATCCTTTACATTCCCTTTGTAACTTCAAGTTCATATATTGAAAAGGCTCGTTGTAACGATGGCTGAACTGTGACCTGACATATGTCATGCATGTTTCCTCCTCTGTCAAGCCTACAGTGGAGATGCCACATGGTGAGAACTAATTATCCACGCTTTTGTCCCACGGCAGGAAAAAGATTGGCTCAGGAGACCTAGCCTGGAAGCTCAGCTCCTCCCTACTCCCACTGTGTTTACACTCCTTGCTACTCTAGGCGTGATTCACAGGCCAGCAGCTTCTGTAACACCCTGGGAGCTTGTTAGGAATGCAGAATCCTGGGCCCGCTCAGAGTGCTGAATGGGAATCTGCATTTCGGCAAGGTCCTTGGAAGCTCTGGGGACACGTGGATTCCTCTCTCAATCCTCTTTGTCTCTGTCTCTCTCCCCGCGCCGTCCTTTGCCCCCTGCCTTATATATTTATTCAGACATTCCCCACTTGACACCGAGCCAAAAGCTTACCCCAGCAGACCCGAGCCAGGCTGATATGCTTTGAATTTTCCAAAGAATGGCCTCGCGAGCCTGAAGCAGTGATGGGGAAACCCCCAGAGAGCTCAAAAGGAGCCCCAAACCACCACTGAGTCCCACCCACTACTCCTTGCAGCGTCATTCTTTACACAGGTACAGCTCCCTCGAACCATGTGAACTGATGTCAGACCCCAGGGGAACAGGCGTGTTTGTGCTCACGTAAAGGGGGAAGCATGGGGACGTCCCTGGTGATCCAGTGGGTAGGGCTCTGTGCTTTCACTGCTGTGTGCCTGGGTTCAGTTCCAGGTCGGGAAACTAAGATTCCACAAGCCGCGTGAACCCAGGCCTACCAAGCCCAACTCCTGTGCCTTTGCCTCTGCGGTGCAGTCATACATGAGCGTGGGGAGGCTGGGCCTGGTCTCCAGGCAAGAGGATAGCTGGATGAACGCCTTTAGGACTAACAACCACCCAGAGCCTCACGGTCTACAGGGTGACGTCAAACAAAGCCCATTCTTTCATTTAATCCTCGCAAGGGAAGTAGCTGCAGCTGACCCGGCTGTCCGCCCTGGCCAAGGCTTGCTACAAGGGAGCCCACGCCCTCTGGCATGCCACCTCCAGGGTGTCCTCTGAGATAAGCGTCCCCAATCCTGTACCTGCACCCCTGCCCCTCACAGCCTTAGAACTTTGAGACAATGGGACAGAACCCTTAAAACTGGGCTATTCTGGCTTTGTGGAGCGGAGTCCGGGTGGAACCACAGGCATTCTGTGGATTCCAGGACCGGCTCACAAAGTTCAGAGTGGAGTTGGGCACCATGTCTGAGGCGTGAGTGAAGGAGGGGAGAGCCAAGGGCATGGCGCCTCCCTGGTCCTGGAGCCAGGCAGCTGGGGACAACGCCGCTGGGAGGGGGGCTCCTGAGGGCCGGCCCCACCTGGACCCCAGACACTCACGCAGCCACCCTGGCCACTCCTGCCTGGGCTCAGGTTTCCCTCAGGCTACTGATTCCAGAACAGTCCCTCCGTGCAGTACCCTTCTCTACAGTTCACCCTCACCCCCACTTCCAGCCCACCATCCTAGACCTTTGCAACATTGCTGGGGGCCCCTCCAGCCTGGAGGGACCAGCCACAGACTCTGAAAGGCCCCTCCCTTGGCAGGAGGCCCTCAGGGCGGTGCCCATTCATCACGCTCCTTGCTCCTCCCTGGTGGGCTCCAGCCCCAGGAGCCCCGGTCCCTCAGCTTCTAAGCCTCAGGGGGTCTCACTGGGGCCACCATCTCAGTTCCCTGAAGGCCTCTCCCTTCCCGGGACTCCCTCTCGGGGCCATGAGTCTCCTTAGCATCACACCTTCTGGGACCTTGCATTCAGGTCTTCAGGTGCCTCAGGGGAACCCCACCCCTCCCCCTCCGCCCTTGCTCTTCTGAGGCTCAGGGCGCCCCCTGCCGGCCCCCCTCCCCACCTTGAGGCTCAGGGCGCCCCCTCCTGCCCTCTTCCCCGTCCTCTGAGGCTCAGGACGCCCCCTCCTCTCCCCTTCCCCGTCCTCTGAGACTCAGGGCGCCCCCTGCCGGCCCCCCTCCCCACCTTGAGGCTCAGGGCGCCCCCTCCTCTCCCCTTCCCCGTCCTCTGAGGCTCAGGACGCCCCCTCCTCTCCCCTTCCCCGTCCTCTGAGGCTCAGGACGTCCCCTCCTCTCCCCTTCCCGGTCCTCTGAGACTCAGGGCGCCCCCTGCCGGCCCCCCTCCCCACCTTGAGGCTCAGGGCGCCCCCTCCTCTCCCCTTCCCCGTCCCTAGGCTCAGGACGCCCCCTCCTCTCCCCTTCCCGGTCCTCTGAGACTCAGGGCGCCCCCTGCCGGCCCCCCTCCCCACCTTGAGGCTCAGGGCGCCCCCTCCTCTCCCCTTCCCCGTCCTCTGAGACTCAGGGCGCCCCCTGCCGGCCCCCCTCCCCACCTTGAGGCTCAGGGCGCCCCCTCCTCTCCCCTTCCCCGTCCCTAGGCTCAGGACGCCCCCTCCTCTCCCCTTCCCGGTCCTCTGAGACTCAGGGCGCCCCCTGCCGGCCCCCCTCCCCACCTTGAGGCTCAGGGCGCCCCCTGCCGGCCCCCCTCCCCACCTTGAGGCTCAGGGCGCCCCCTCCTCTCCCCTTCCCCGTCCTCTGAGACTCAGGGCGCCCCCTGCCGGCCCCCTCCCACCTTGAGGCTCAGGGCGCCCCCTCCTCGCCCCTTCCCCGTCCTCTGAGACTCAGGGCGCCCCCTGCCGGCACCCCCCCTAGAGCTTACCAGCGCCTCTGGGACTCCTCCCACCTGATCTTGGAAGAGCTGCTGGACCAGGAGTCGCTGCTGGGGGAAGCTGTTCCCGACGGCGAGCGGCACTCCTTCCAGTACCGGCTCTCCTCGCTCTATCTGTACTACCTGGGGCTGCTGCGCCGCTTCGACACCCTCTACGACCAGATGGTGCAGCCGCAGAAGCGGCGGCTGCTGCGGCAGCTGCTGGACAGTGTGGCCTGCCGCGTGCTGGAGCTCAAAGACGATCTGGTTCGCGCCAACCTGTGTGAGACCCACTGCCTGGACCAAGTGCTGCAGGACTTAAAGCTCACCCCGGTACGCGGGCTGCTCAAGCACTGCGCCCACCCCAGCTCGGGGTGGGGGTGGGGGGCCGGGGAGCTGGGGGGAGGGCTAGCCTTGATCTCCCCCTCCTTGTGGAAGCAAACCAAGCCCCAGCCAGCTGGGAGTAGGGGTGGCCTTGACTTTCCTCCGACACCCCAGGCCTTGGGGCATCATCTGCAAGGGAAAGCGGGCAGGGCAGATCAGACAATGGGCTTTGGGAAGTTCATGCACCGTAGTTAGGAGGTGCAACTTCCCTGGTCGTCTAGCAGTTGAGAGTCTGCCTGCCAATGGAGGGGACACGGGTTCAATCCCTGCTTTGGGAAGATTCCACATGCCATGTGGCAGCTGAGCCCATGAGCCACCAGGACTGAGCCTAGAGCCTGAGCTCCCCAAGAGAAGCTACCGCAATGAGAAGCCTGTGCACCCCCAACTAGAGAGTAACCCCCATTTGCAACAACTCGAGAAAGACCTAGCAGCAACAAAGACCTAGCACAGCCAAAAATAAATAAATAAATCTTAAAAAAAAAAAAGTAGTTAAGGGTGGCTGGGGAATCAGGCTGGAAGCTCTGTCTGGCTCGGAGGAGCCATGAACCCCAATGCAGGGGATTGCTGGTAAGGGTCCCCTGGAGGCTTGTTCCTCAAAGTGTGGTCCTCGGACCAGCAGCGTCAGCATCACCTAGGAGCTTGTTAGAGATGCAGAATCTCTGGCTGCACCCCCAAACCACTACTCTGCCTCTGCGTTTTCACAAGACCCTCAGGGGATGTCTGTGCACCAGCAAGTCCCAAAGCACAGCGCTTCTGCACTGGCCTCCAGCCCACCCCAAGGTCAGGGCGCCCTGTTCCACGTCTAAGGCGGACTCAAAGTTTCCCCTACTAGCTGCCTGAGACCCAGCTGTGGACTTGAAAAAACAGACCTTCTCCAGGCCCTGCCATTCTGATGTGGTTGCCCAGGGAGGGCCTAGGAGCCTGCATTTTAAGAGCTTGGGTCCCAGTTGATTCAGTTGTACAGCTAGGACTGGGACCACTGCCCATTACCTACCCTGATCCTTCAGAATCCAACTCTGGCCACATGACAGGGTCAAAGGAAGAGGGGAATGAGTCTTGGGACAATCTGCCTAAAATCTGTATTCCCACCCTGGAGCTCTAGGATGGGGGAAGCCAGCCCCAAGGGTATGTATGCGGCTGAAAGCGGTAAT